CCCCCCCCCCCGAGTAGAAACAGCCATGCAAATAGTATATTTGTCTCCCACTCGGGTGAACTCTTACAACTGCCTGCAACAAACATCTAAAATGCAGTAAACCAATTCTTTGGGGTTTGGCAGGTCTTCCTGGCCTCAGCATCCAGGCTTAGGTTTTTTTCTAACCTTTTAAAAAAGGGGAAGGGCATCAAGGAGTATAATTTTATGTTCCAATTTCTCATGAAGCAGCTCTTTCTTTGTCCATGTAAGCAGGTAAAACAGGGAGAGTTCTCATTCTACTTGGGTGTCACGTCTACTGTAGAAATCACTAGGAAATTATGAAGAGTTACTGATCAGGCTGGTATAAACCGAGACGGGAGAAGTGGCACAAAACTTTTTTGAAATCCATGTGGCTTGACTAATAGCAATCCTGATCTTCAGCCGGCATACTTGATCTTCAGCTGTTATCCTCAGCAATTTGAGTTACATTTAAAGGCATAACAGAAATAAAGACTACTACAGTTGTACAAGTGCACAGGGTATTTAATCTAAGCCAGGTGACGTTTTGATGTTTTACAGAGGCAAGAACTGGAATCGGAGAACAAGAAACTGAAAAATGAACTTAATGAACTAAGAAAGGCTATAGCAGACCGAGCAACCCAAAACGACGCTTCCAATGATATCCAAGACAATTATAAGCTTCTACTGAATCAGCTTAAATCAGCCAATGAAGAGCTGGAAGTGAGGAAGGAAGAAGTACTTATTCTAAGGACACAGATTATAAAGGCAGCCCAGGAAAAAGAGACCAGCAAAAATATGGTAACTGAGTGGAGAAATCCTTTTTCCTCTTCTCTTACTGAGGGAGCATTAACTATTCTTGTTTAATGAAGGCATTGACTTGGCTTTAAGTTATAGCCATCAAGAGATGGCTATCTGAGACTTGCTGAGTGAGCTCCAGAAATATTTGGATTCATCTGGACGGGGGGCAAGGAAAAAAGTATTGTAGGCCAGATTTTGCCCTCTCTCATATTAGTGTACATGGGAAATAACTTCATTCGCACCCACATAAATGAGAACTGAATTTGGTCCACCGAAGTCAGGGGTATCAAACTTGCACCGAGCTGGATTCAGACTGGCCTAGGAAGCTTCTGCTGGGCCAGTTCCATGGAGCCAGAAGCAGCTGCAGTGGGTCCAGCTCTGGCATGATTGATTGGTGCAATTCCTTGTGAAGGCAGTGGCACAGGTTGGGGTCACGTCTGCAGTACAGGTCCGGGGGTGGGTGACATTGCAGGTCAGGGATCGGGCAGCGCCTTACAGCTGATGTCCATCAGGATCAAGGGACCCTGGATTCTGCAGCAGGTCATGCCCTGCAGCTTTTAGTAGCCTGCCAGACTGCCAGCAGACTGGCTAAAATGGTTCCATGGGCCAGATCTAGACCCCTGACCTAAGTTACAGGTGGGTCTTTCTGCTGTTGTTTCAAGGAAGTCTTTTTTTAAACCAAAATACCCCTTTGTGGCATTGGCTTTGGGGGGTTTTCTCAATGGTTTTAGCACCCTCTGTGGGTCAGAAAGGGATCTCCTTTCCAGCCCCAAAGAAATCCACCTCCTTATGTTCACATTTCTGTTACATGCTCTTACCTGCACAAACCCTCACAAACTCCTCACTTGTACTCACAAGGCAATAGGCGCAAAAGG